TGGCGCATACTGGTTGCCTCGCTTCTGTCAGTGTGCCCCAGGGCAGCTGTGGCTACAGTAGTAGTTTATCACCACCGTGTTTGGGGTGAAAGAATAATGACATGTGAAGCGTCTTTGAGTGTCCAAAAAAGCGCTAAATAAAACCGATGCATTATTATTATTATTTAACAAAACTGGTTCTAACTGGTTTCTGATCTATCACTAGTTTTCACATGCACATACTTTTGGCTTCTGTCACATTTTTCAGCGAACATGAGAGACCAGCCCTCACGCAGCCAATCAGCTCTCAGTATCCAGGTTAAGAACAGAACGTTTAGCTCTGCATACATAGTTGAATTGCTCTGAACACGACATTGTGTAAATTAGTAAAGGGACGAACTAAATGGTAAAGAGCTGCAAAAACTATACTGTAAAAAGTCAAAGAATGTCTCCTTATTTTTTCCTCTTACAATCATCTAGTATGTTCATAGTAGTTGCACCCACGCGTCTCACATTCGGTGCAGGAGTTTGAATGTGTATTTTTGTGAACTCCAGCCACTCCTCCTACACAAATGGGACCCCGCGGTCTTGCAGGCTTGATATTCACAGTCAGGGGGCAGGCTTAATGAATCGCTTTGTTACGGTTGACGCTCCAGGTGGTGACAAGTTTTACAGCAATTAACAATCATTACAAAGGCTGTACAATCTAAGACAATACAGCTTTTTCAATTACTTTTCATTCAAGAAAGAGGGCAGATGTGCTGTTTTTTTTCATATATTGCTATTTCTCTTAAAGCGTTCCTTTTAAGTAGTTTCATTATTAGTTTTTATCAAGATTAAGTATTCTGCAATTGTCAATGTTAATGGACCTACCTGCCGGGTGCCAATCCAATGTCACAAATAGCTAAACTCATTGTGATGATTTAATTATGATTTGAGGAATGTGTGAAAAAGTGCTTAGTAACCCTGAAACAAAATCTATTTTCAGAAGTCAAAAACATTTGGTAACACTTTACATTACGGGCCGGTAAGTCCATGGTACTTACAGTGGTACTTCTAGGTACTTACAGTGGTACTTACGGTGGTACTTACGGTGGTACTTACAGTGGTACTTACAGTGGTACTTACAGTGGTACTTACGGTGGTACTTACGGTGGTACTTACAGTGGTACTTACAGTGGTACTTACGGTGGTACTTACGGTGGTACTTACGGTGGTACTTACAGTGGTACTTACAGTGGTACTTACGGTGGTACTTACGGTGGTACTTACGGTGGTACTTACCGTGGTACTTACGGTGGTACTTACGGTGGTACTTACAGTGGTACTTACAGTGGTACTTACAGTGGTACTTACAGTGGTACTTCTAGGTACTTACAGTGGTACTTACAGTGGTACTTACAGTGGTACTTACAGTGGTACTTCTAGGTACTTATTGTGGTACTTACAGTGGTACTTCTAGGTACTTACAGTGGTACTTATTGTGGTACTTACAGTGGTACTTCTAGGTACTTATTGTGATAATTCTAGATACAGCTGTAACTTAGTAATTCAAGGACACTACAGTATTATTCCTATGTAGTAAATGTGGTACTTCTACATACATACATACAGAGGTCATTTGTAGAATTGTTTGACTATAAAACATAAAACAACATTATGTAAAACAAACGTCTTTATTAATATGGAATAAGTAGCACAGAAAGGACAGTATAAATACATTTAATGCATATTTCAAAACAAGTTTCAAGGACAAGGGAAACACTGCAAGAACTAGGTACCCAACCCAAGTAACAAGAATTACACATTACCAGGTACTTACCAGGCAAGTACCAGGTACTTACCAGGCAAGTACCAGGTACTTACCAGGCAAGTACCAGGTACTTACCAGGCAAGTACCAGGTACTTACCAGGCAAGTACCTGGTACTTACCAGGCAAGTACCAGGTACTTACCAGGCAAGTACCAGGTACTTACCAGCAAGTACCAGGTACTAACCAGGCAAGTACCAGGTACTTACCAGCAAGTACCAGGTACTTACCAGGCAAGTACCAGGTACTTACCAGGCAAGTACCAGGTACTTACCAGGCAAGTACCAGGTACTTACCAGCAAGTACCAGGTACTTACCAGCAAGTACCAGGTACTTACCATAGGGACTGGCCCGTAATAAGACAAAGGACTTTAACATAAGTACCAGTGATAACACCAGTAATTATATAGTAAGTACCAGGTACTTACCATAGGAACTGGCCCATAATAAGACAAAGGACTTTAACATAAGTACCAGTGATAACACCAGTAATTATATAGTAAGTACCAGGTACTTACCATAGGAACTGGCCCATAATAAGACAAAGGACTTACCCATAAGTACTAGTGATACCAGTAATTATATAGTATACCATGTACTTACCAGCAAGTACCAGGTACTTACCAGCAAGTACCAGGTACTTACCATAGGGACTGGCCCGTAATAAGACAAAGGACTTTAACATAAGTACCAGTGATAACACCAGTAATTATATAGTAAGTACCAGGTACTTACCATAGGAACTGGCCCATAATAAGACAAAGGACTTTAACATAAGTACCAGTGATAACACCAGTAATTATTTAGTAAGTACCAGGTACTTACCATAGGAACTGGCCCATAATAAGACAAAGGACTTACCCATAAGTACTAGTGATACCAGTAATTATATAGTATACCATGTACTTACCAGCAAGTACCAGGTACTTACCAGCAAGTACCAGGTACTTACCAGCAAGTACCAGGTACTTACTAGCCAAGTACCAGGTACTTACCATAGGGACTGGCCCATAATAAGACAAAGGACTTTAACATAAGTACCAGTGATAACACCAGTAATTATACAGTAAGTACCAGGTACTTACCATAGGGACTGGCCCATAATAAGACAAAGGACTTTAACATAAGTACCAGTGATAACACCAGTAATTATATAGTAAGTACCAGGTACTTACCATAGGAACTGGCCCATAATAAGACAAAGGACTTACCCATAAGTACTAGTGATACCAGGTACTTACCAGCAAGTACCAGGTACTTACCAGCAAGTACCAGGTACTTACCAGCAAGTACCAGGTACTTACCAGCAAGTACCAGGTACTTACCAGCAAGTACCAGGTACTTACCAGCAATTACCAGATACTTACCAGCAAGTACCAGGTACTTAACAGCAAGTACCAGGTACTTACTGTATAATTACTGGTGTTATCACTGGTACTTATGTTAAAGTCCTTTGTCTTATTATGGGCCAGTCCCTATGGTAAGTACCTGGTACTTGGCTGGTAAGTACCTGGTACTTGCTGGTAAGTACCTGGTACTTGCTGGTAAGTACATGGTATACTATATAATTACTGGTATCACTAGTACTTATGGGTAAGTCCTTTGTCTTATTATGGGCCAGTTCCTATGGTAAGTACCTGGTACTTACTATATAATTACTGGTGTTATCACTGGTACTTATGTTAAAGTCCTTTGTCTTATTATGGGCCAGTTCCTATGGTAAGTACCTGGTACTTACTATATAATTACTGGTGTTATCACTGGTACTTATGTTAAAGTCCTTTGTCTTATTACGGGCCAGTCCCTATGGTAAGTACCTGGTACTTGCTGGTAAGTACCTGGTACTTGCTGGTAAGTACCTGGTACTTGCCTGGTAAGTACCTGGTACTTGCTTGGTAAGTACCTGGTACTTGCTGGTAAGTACCTGGTACTTGCCTGGTAAGTACCTGGTACTTGCTGGTAAGTACCTGGTACTTGCCTGGTAAGTACCTGGTACTTGCCTGGTAAGTACCTGGTAATGTGTAATTCTTGTTACTTGGGTTGGGTACCTAGTTCTTGCAGTGTTTCCCTTGTCCTTGAAACTTGTTTTGAAATATGCATTAAATGTATTTATACTGTCCTTTCTGTGCTACTTATTCCATATTAATAAAGACGTTTGTTTTACATAATGTTGTTTTATGTTTTATAGTCAAACAATCCTACAAATGACCTCTGTATGTATGTATGTAGAAGTACCACATTTACTACATAGGAATAATACTGTAGTGTCCTTGAATTACTAAGTTACAGCTGTATCTAGAATTATCACAATAAGTACCTAGAAGTACCACTGTAAGTACCACAATAAGTACCTCTAAGTACCACAATAAGTACCACTGTAAGTACCTAGAAGTACCACTGTAAGTACCACAATAAGTACCTAGAAGTACCACTGTAAGTACCACTGTAAGTACCACTGTAAGTACCACCGTAAGTACCACCGTAAGTACCACCGTAAGTACCACCGTAAGTACCACCGTAAGTACCACCGTAAGTACCACCGTAAGTACCACCGTAAGTACCACCGTAAGTACCACCGTAAGTACCACCGTAAGTACCACTGTAAGTACCACTGTAAGTACCACCGTAAGTACCACCGTAAGTACCACTGTAAGTACCACCGTAAGTACCACCGTAAGTACCACCGTAAGTACCACTGTAAGTACCACCGTAAGTACCACCGTAAGTACCACCGTAAGTACCACCGTAAGTACCACCGTAAGTACCACTGTAAGTACCACCGTAAGTACCACTGTAAGTACCACCGTAAGTACCACTGTAAGTACCACTGTAAGTACCTAGAAGTACCACTGTAAGTACCATGGACTTACCGGCCCGTAATGTAAAGTGTTACCAAACATTTCCATTTTCCCACCTCTGCACCTTCTCCACCGACTCCCACTGATGACTGCTGTCGTTGTGTCCTTGGGCAAGACACTTAACCCCACTTTGCCCAAAAGCCCCCACTGAAAGATCAAGGCTATGCTCACACTCAGAGAGCAGCCGTCCTCCTGTGGACTCACCACCTGCAGAGGGTCAGTGAGGGGCTGGTGCTATGAGACTTGGGTGGCATCTCTGATTGCCACCCCCCTGACCCAGAAATGGATTAAAGGGTAGAAAATGGATGGATGGAAAAACATTTCCAAACTTTTTTTTTTTTAATCTCTTCCAGGCACCAGACACAGGCTAGAGGACTCCGCTCCCAGAATCGTTGAGCATCCATCAGACCTAATAGTTTCCAAAGGCGAACCGGCCACTCTGAACTGCAAAGCCGAAGGTCGTCCCACTCCGATCATAGAATGGTACAAAGATGGGGAGCGCGTTGACACAGATCGAGAAGACCCCAGATCGCACCGGATGCTTCTTCCCAGCGGGGCGCTCTTCTTCCTCCGGATCGTCCACGGCCGGAGGAGCAAGCCGGACGAGGGCGTGTACGTGTGCGTGGCTCGGAACTACCTGGGAGAGGCCGTCAGCCGGAACGCATCGCTGGAGGTGGCAAGTAAGTAGAAGCGGCTTGGTTTGTCGAGTTCTGCCGCAACATATGAAAAATGCATTGGTCAACTGAATTTTGCAGGCGTTTCTTTCGGCATTTTGTTTTCCGTCACAGTTCATCGCATTCAAGGAACTGCTAGTGAGCGCAAAAGATTCTTGTTGCCAGTCTGCGTTTCAACTATTTGCAATCATTATTTTAAAATGACTTTATTAGCAATTACAATTTTAAATCAAGCCAGCCAAAGGAAGTTCAAAGATGTTTATACACCGTCTGCAATATGGATTTAGTTATTAATAGATAGATATGCCACTACTGGTTGATTTACCGTGTTCAACAGACTCTGAAACAAAACAAAAAGTGCCAATAAAGAATGTGAGAAGAGACTGCAAATCGATACTGGCTATATGTTGAAAAAACTGCTACAACTGAATTTAAAGAGCTCAGATTACATGTATTGGCCATTTGCAGTTCAAAAATACACGATAATTATGCAAATAGACAAAAAACATGTCTTTGCTGTGTACTAATCCGAAGTAAAAAATTTTTTCATCTAAAACAAATTGCAATATTTATCAGACAAATTTCAATCAGCAATAAATCAAGTCTCACTAATCCACCATCATCTTCTCAGATTACAAGTCTTTAGCATGCAAAGTGGCTTCAAATGACCTTCATATCATTACCATCATCAACCCCTGTTCACTAAAGACCACACCTCTGACCTTAATGTCACATTGCCCCGGCAGCTGGCACCCCGAGTCCTCCACACCCCACTTCTTTCCTTACACCCCTCCCCTCTGCGGTCATCATGCTTTCTGGCCCTTGACACACTGTCCAATCTATGTCTAGCAGTGGCCAAGACCCCGTTAATGTAGATAGATGACAGGGTAGCGGCCACGACGAGAGATAGCAGTTGTCATCAGTGGACAGGAAAGCAGAACCACTTTCTTTGCAGGCCGAGGAAGAGATTGTTGGCGCATTTTCAGTACCAGATGTTAGGCCTTGAAATAAAGTACAACAAAGAATTGTCAACCTGCGACGCCTTTTAGACCGTCCGTTCTGAAGCAAGCAACTGTAATGTAATGAAATGCAAGAAAGGCCAATTAAACGGAGCGGCTGTTTGGTTTGTTATGACAGTGGCTGAAGGTGACCGATTCAAAATAGCTGCTTGTTGCTCTAACTTTCATGGAAACTTTGAATATAGGGACAAATCAGAAGGAAAATGACTATTGACATTCTCTTAAATACAAGCAACCCTCTCCAAAAGCCATTATCTCCCAATTTCGATCAACATGACTCTTTGACAGTGCCTGCCACCGGTTTGTGGACAAACACATTGAGTTTAATCACTTACTCTGATCCTTGGCTTCTGTCCGGCCTCCTTTAAAAGCAGAAACCATTTCAGGAATTCTCTATAGTGCTAACACAGGACAGATGAAAAGAACCATATCCTTTTATTTAGAAAGCAGTGGAATTTGAAACTTTTATGGCACCTTGCAGTCCTAAAAGAAATATTTACAAGACATTTTGTGTTTAAATTACTTCGACTCATTGGTATGTCATGTTTTAGATCCACACAACAAGTGTATGGAACTGTTTTTTGTGACAGTACAGTAGAAAATGTTCTGCCGTTTGAAAGACGACAAAGTTTTATAAAAGGAAACTTGAACATTTGCCAAACGAAATAGTATTCCATGTGAGGTGGAGCGTACACAACATTATACTGTGAAAGTAACTTGACTTTTAAAACATCAGAAGAACACACCGCAATGAACCATTGAATCGTCTATTTTTCACTAAACCTAAAATATAGCAAATGCATTAGTCACCTTTGCTAAAAATTTGAAACATTGAAAAGAATTACATTTCACCTCGCACTGGCTTAGTTTTTGGTATCAGCATAAGAAGCCTGGAGGTATTTACGATTTAAGCCAAACACGAAAGCGTGGAGAATGGGTGTAGGTGTTGTGATTCACGTTTTTTTTTCAAACATGGAAGCAGAGAATAGACTTGTGTTTCTGGAAATGTCTCACTCCCCATGAGTAATCCTTATCGGCAACTTCTATAATGCTATGCAGACCCTCAAACTTAAGTCTGTTTGCTCCCTTCTAATTCATGGCATGCACACCTCGCTCGAACCCAAGGACGGGGTTGGTAATATTTGCAGTTCCCTCGGGGATATTGTCGTGCTGTCGGCGTTCTGTAGATAATAAGATTGTCCTGGCTTTCTCGCAGCATAGACGAGATCTAATATGTGGCTTTGTGGGGTTGTGCTAGGTCATGTTTCCTGTTCAAAAGGCTGATGTCTATTCTTTTTGATAACTCATTGCCAAGCGCCAGATCGGCTCATCTGCTGTTTGGCTGTGTTTCCCGCTCCGGTGGGAGGTGACATTCTATCTACACAGAATACATACTGAAGAGTGTTAGGACCGGATGACACATAATGCTAATTTAGTTGGGAAAAAAAGGACTCCAGCTGAAATGAAACAGAGGGATTACAAGATATTAAAGTCTATATTTTCAATGTTTGTATTTTATTAAGGCAATAAGCAAAAATAACTCAAAGCGAAATTACACTTTTACTGCAGGACTCTTTATCTGCCACTCAAGTGTTTTCAATGTAGTGTTGACTTGTATTCAGGCCTCTACAGTAGTAAGTAAGTAAGTAGTAGTAATCTTTATTTATATACCGCCTTTTCACTGCACATCGGAGTCTCAAAGCGGTTTACAATTGTTATTTTTTGGGTGTGGGGGTGCCAGTACAGGAGGCACATGCCAGACCTATTGTACATATTTTTAGTGGTAGGGGAAACCGGAGCACCCGGAGGAAACCTACGCAGACACAGGGAGAACATGCAAACTCCACTCAGAAAGGCCCTGGTCCAACCGGGATTTGAACCCAGGACCTTCTTGCTGAGAGGCGAGAGTGCTATCCACTCAGCCACCGTGCTGAGTGAGTACACACTCACACATAATAACAGCAGCAGACGCAAAAGCATTATGTTATGAGCTTCACAAACAGCTTAAACTGCCCCAGTATGAAAAGCAGAAGGACAAAGACGTGATAATCCAATACAGGAAAACAACTATTATACTTGTTTGCTCCCTATTGTGGATAATGACACACTTCCCTGCAGAGTTCTTTTATATAGTGGCCGAACGCATCTCACAGCAAACAGCTGGTGCTATGCGTGCTAGCGGTAGCGGCCGTTGCGACTGTTTACTCGGTCACCTGATCTGTACGAAGCTCTAAACCGGGGCCAGTCTTGTTATTGCGCAATGCTCCTTGTGTCCTCCAGTCTTCCAGACAGTTGACACGGGGGAGGGGCGCTCTTAAGAGTCGGCTCTGTGTAAGCGTGCTCACAAAACACATTTATTCGTTTTGTAACATATCAAACCAAAGAGGCCACATCGATCGATTTGATATAACATCGAGGAACGTTGCCGTCTAACATAGTCAGTAGGTTGAAAAGCTATTAGGCTTTGAAAGAGTTTTGCTAAAAAGTTATCTTGAGGAAAATATCTGCTATCGAGAATTTGATTTGGTTTCGTTGCTTTCTTCTTCCCTTCTTAGCATTCTGCTCTCGCCATACACAATAAGACCCTTAATCTACTGAAGAAAGTTCCATAGCGCCTGTTAACATTTGCAGACTTTTACATAAACCCGCTAATATACTTTTTGGACAGTTGCCTCCAAGCAAAGAGAGGTTATATAGAACAAACTGTGACAAATGCCAAGCAGATACCAGTGCCAACCCTTGCAATTCGGAGCCAATGGGACCGGAGATAAGACCATGGGCACAGAGGGAGGCCAACAGACCTGGGATCAGCACCAGAGGAAGCACAAGATGGCACTTCTCGCTCCCAGCCAGCGACTTGGAAGCGCTGGGAGCAAACTGTTCAATAGAGGGTATATTTGGGCATGGGTAGACAAAGCCAGAGACTGAGATTGGGCAGTGCAATAGGAAGGTTTAACCCCTCATGGCCCATGCACAGCAGCCTGGCAATAGGTGAAGCACTGACCTGACTTTACTAATTAAGCTGTTTTTCACTTGTCACTTGTCTTTTACTCTTGAACTGGAGACCAAGCTGGAGAGAAAAATATGGCTGGTTTAGACTTATCATATTTGTGGGAGTTTTTGTCTGATAACCGCATGATTGGAAGCAGCCAGTGGCTTTGTTTTGCACATTTAAAGCTGGGGTACCTAACTTTATTGTTTAGTATATAATACATTTTGTTTCTCCCAACAAAGTCAAATTGCGTGGGTTAGTCTGGACCACATTGTGCTGCCTTCATCTTATTATGTCGATATTTTACATCCTTGTAAGAAGTATGAGGCTGAGCTGATTCATGGCTGAGCGCTCTTTTCTGTTTGGAACAGATGCTCTTAAGACATGACAGAGGGAAGAAAATACATGCATGTGGAAACTAGTGGCTGTACCAAACTGGGAACTTGTTAGATTGATTTTATCACATAAACTTTATTATATGTAGTTTGAAAAGCTTTAATCTTAAAACCCTTATGCACGTATGATGCTCTACTGTCATCGTATTAAGACAATCCATTTTGTTTACACTTCCAATGCCGCATAAAGAATATATTTCAAGCCTTAACATTTCAGTGTAGCCCTACTGGAGACATCTCCTGTTTTTCAGTCTAAACATCCAAGGGAGTTTCAAACTCATTTGTGACTGACAAAGAACATCTGTCTGCCTCCTCCTCAACACGTTCAGAGTATTCTGGAGCTGACTATACATTTGGCCATACCATTTTAGATCCTTCCAGTGCTAATGACATACTCATCACCCAGTTGAGAGTCAGACAACTGCTTGTTATCATCCGTTATCAAATGTTCTCATTGGTAATGCAAGGAATCACTCATGTCATTATGCTTTTCCTCTGGGGGAGACTAGAAACTCCCAAGGATTAGTTGCTGTAGAGATATTTGACTAGTGAGATTAATCCCTCCTGCAGAATGCCACATGCTAATTGTCCTTGGAGACG